TGTGTGTGTGTGTGTGACAGAGTGGTCAACATTGACCCAGTAGGCTGTGAAGAGGCTGCATACCCATCGGTATTCCAGACGTGGAGGCAAACTACTGTCTCTGTCACCTTGACTCCCCCTGCAGCAGATGAGCGCTGGGCTGCACAGGAAACACTTAGCACTACCTGACTGTAGTTAAAATGGATAAGGGGGCTATTTTGTTCTCTTGCTCCATTTGTATTTTTCCACTCTTTTCCTTCTCCCTTGCTTTTTCCACTCGTTTATGTTCTCCGTGCCCCCGCATCACCCCTGTTTCTTGTCTTCACTTTGTTTGCTCCCCATTAGCTTTAAGTGTGATTTCAGCTGTCACTGCATGGGCTTTGTGGAATGGTATACTTATATATTAGGATGTCAGAAGGTTTCTGTCCAGAACAATCACACATAATTATGCACACACTCCCCCCCCTTTGGGCAACTCACAAGTCTGCATTAGCACACAGAAGTCTGTGTGTGTTTGTTTTAGATGTAGACAAGACATTCTTTCAAATCTTTAAGCCTGTGATGTGCATGGAGTGTATTTTTGTCTAAGTCTTTGTTGGAAAAAGCAACCTGTCATCAGTTAAATGTCAATTAGGAGGCAATGAAAGTGTGTTTTCGTGTCCGTATTTGCGTGTTTGTAAGTGTGTCTCTGTGTTGAGCGGAGCTGTCGTCAGCAGTGTGGTCTGACAGTCTTGTAGATCTACAGTGGAACCTCCAGCGACATGTCTACTGCTGACAGCTTCTCTACACACTCTGCTTTCAACGACACTGGCGGCTAAACACACTCACGCAGACATAACGCACACACACACATACTCACCACGTCTGTGTCTGCCTTTCTCTCTCTCGCTGTCTCCTTATGATCTCCCTGTATTTTTGTTGACTGGTGATGATGAGGTATGTTAGGGAGTTGAGGAGAGAGAGAGATGATTCAGAGCGGTGACGTGTTCATAGTTGCTACCGAAAACACTGGGTGTAAACGATGACTCGGCTGAGAGGTTTGAAAGAATTGGTTTAATATGGTGTTTTGGTTTTTTTTTGTATCTTCGCTCAAGCTGCTATCACTGTCAGGTGAAATCTTTAAATGACAAAATGATAACTATTCAAGTACAATGTTAGGTTTGACCACCATCCCTTCTCATCCCCTCTGACAGGCATTCACAAAACCGAGAGGCAGGATTTTCATTCTATAGAGAAGCATTTAATCCCTCAAATGACATTAAAACATTGCTGTGTGAAATGAGTCATTGTCCCTTACCACCTACTTAAATTTCTCTGCTTTAGTTTTATGTTGTTTTAAAAACCATTATGTCAGTCAGTGATGGAGTCTAACCCATCTTCTGTTATTTCATCTCTATTCAGGGGCAGACGTGACCGAACCCAACAGCTCAGACAGCCGCGGCGAACGCCTCGACTTCTTCCTCAAACAGGAAGAGGCTCTTACCACAGAGCCCAGCTATCTGGGCCCCAACGAATCGGAGGAGGCCGGGGGCGGAGCCGGGGGCGGAACAATCTCATCTGTAGCCAATCTGAAGGCGGCGCTGATGAGTAAGAACAGCCTGCTTTCACTGCGGGCTGAGATGATGGGAGATGATAACCCCTTGCTGTACGAGTACCTGCCCAAAGGAGGACACTCCCTGTCTTGTAAGTCACTATTTACTAACACTGTGCTCACACTGATTGTTACACACACACACACACCCAGCAAGCCACACTCATTATAACTTACAACTTGGGTATACACAAACTGCTTCGACTCTGCTAGTGTATTTTTGAGTACCTGCTCATGTGGTCACCTGTGAGACATAAAACATACAGGCTTGACCGCTTTTGACATGAGTATCCTCTTCCTCTGCAGAGTATTTTCCCTCATCAGCCACTGTATTTGGATGACTCTGAATGCATGTATGTGTGTGTGCGTGTGTGTGTGTGTGTGTGTGTGTGTGGTGCCACTTTAGTGTGTAAAGGGTTTGTGTGGCAATGCAAGTGATGACTAGTCAGCGGTGACTCAGTGAGAGAACATTTTGCTGGGATCGCTCTCGCTGTTGTGAGAAAATTTGTTTGGTTTTATGTGACAGTTCCTTTGTACGTATCAGTGGGTCTACGGCTGTATTTTCACAGCAGCAAAATAACACAACAGAACTGCAGCAACTGTTCAGATAGTATTTACTTAGTGTACTCCAGCACCAATAATGGTGAAGCGATTTGCTCTGCTCAATGACGGCACAAACCCCCCAAGATAAATAGTATTTTTTAAATTGCATCCCTCAAAAAAACAGTGAAACATTTTGATAGAGAAATGTGATGTCACATGAGATGAAATAGAATAAACAGACTAGAAATGTGTTCAAGTGTTCATTTTTTGCCAATGTGCATGAGTGTGCAACCTCAACCTTAACCTTAAAAGTTTGAAGCTTATGTGCGTTAAGCTTCCAACATCCTTCTTCCTCTCTTTGTCTGAATAACTCACCGCATAAGGAGTAAAATAACTAAAATCTGCCAAATCTTTTACTTACCTTACAATAAACAATTTTTCTAATCATATCAATATTAAACGTCTTTATTTGTGCTTAGTTTGCCCACGTTAACAAGAGAAAAAATTTTCTTCGTTTAGTCAGGTTTTTTTTGCCTTCAGTGAGGGTGTTAAACTGTCAGTGTGTCTACATGTGTGTATCTCCCTGTGTGTGCCGGCGTAAGCGTATATTTGCTTGAGTCCATGTCCGCGTGGGCACATTTGTGTGTGTGCGCAACTCGTGTTTGTGTTTCTTTGCTTTTACTGGCTAGTAATTGGATCTTTTGTCCCGAGTTCTGCCTGTCTTTGTGAGCGGAAGAAAAGCAAAGGAAGGGTACAACTCCGAGCCTAGTCGTGCCTTTTGAGTTGAGCCCCACTCACCTACAAAATAAAAGACAGGGCCAAGACTGAATAGACCAAGACACAAGTTTGCAGTAGCACATTCGTGCTCGCAAACGCACGTCACATCACATCACCCCTTTTGTGCAAGTGTTAAGTGTGTGGGATTGAGATGTTTCTGTTGGCTTAAAGAGGAGAATCAGATGCTGTCACAGCACAGATAGACAGCCTCACAAGCTCCAGAAAAGAGAAGAAGCGGCTTTTTGATACACACTCACACTTAACAGATACACCCAGCCTTGACTATATGAATAGGAAATTTGGGGAATTTAGAGAATGTTAATCATTTGCTCGCTGCATAGAGAGAAACACATGTTGAATGAGTCTTATAGTTGTATTTTAGTTGTCACCCAAGAAACCTCTAGGAGGTTTTTGGTTAGCCAAACCCTATTTTGAATTCCCTACACAATAGGGTTTGGGGAAATGGGCTTGTCGAGATGGCCAACTACATCCCCTCCCTCCCCTGGTGTGTCCCTGTGTCTAAATAAGGACAGAAAATAAACAAACACTGTACCTCAGATTACTGGGCGGAGGATAAATCGGCATGGTTTGACAGATCGCTGCTCCCTCCCTCCTTCCCTCCACTCAGCCCTATTTCCCCCTCCTCCTGTTCTCCTCCCTGCTTCTCCTTCACCCCTGCTTAACATCCTTCCTGTCCTTTTTTCCCTCCTGTACTCCCCCTCGCGCCACCCATCCCTCCCTCCTTCTCTCCATCTATTTCTCCTTCACCCCTCCTTAACACTCATCCCTCACACTCTCCATCGCTCCCTCCCCTTCTGGCCGGCTCCCGCAGTTTCTCCTTATTTGTCTCCCTCCTGTCTCTTTCCCCCTCTTTTACTTTTTGCTGTGGAGCATCAAAGTATGTTGGTTTAAAATCCTGGGAAAGTATTGATCTAGGCAGAGAGGAGGTAAAGCAAGGTCACCTGGCCCAATTCAAGAGAGACCACTGAGTATCAGCAAAAGGCCTTGACTTAGAGTTCCCCCTCCCTCCCTCTCCCTATTTCTCTCATTCTCTCTTTTCTGTATAATTGACTGTTTAATAAAACATGTTCTCCTAAAGATTAATTCATTCAAAATCGGCCCAAACTGAGAATCAATGTTCTACAGTTTAACCACTGAATACCTCTTTCTCTTTACATTTAGCTATTCAAACTGATCCAACTCCACCTTGTTGCCAGGGCTTGTGATTCAAATGCACAGCTCCTCCCTTTGCTATCCTTTGCATGGGTCATGGACTACATCCTCCTAGCATATGGAATGCCAAAATACAGTGGAACCAGTCTGTATGTCAGTCAGCCTCCTGAATCCAATTAAGATCATTGGGATTTGGCCCCGCTACCCCTTTGTGCGTCAGACAATCAATGCCAGACTGCGGATTTTGCCGGACCATCCCTGCGCACCTGTCCACACTGCCATCGCGTACCGGCTGTAAAGAACATCCAATTAACTATGGGGATCATACTGACATTATTGAACTTTTCTCTCCACTGCCTGCTCTCATCACTTCACATCTACTTTTGAAAATTGACTCACCCTGTACTGTAGCTCCCGGTGGCTCCATAGCTACTCTCCAGAGGTTTTCTGATTTTTATTTATGATTGTTTTGTATTTTGTCCATCTGGTGCAAGAGACTTCTCAGATTAAAAATGTGGATCCTATATGGCAATGGCATACCCTCTGCCTCCTTTTTTTCAATTCAAAGTTATCAACACAAGAGATGGTAATAACTTTCAATGTTCTTTTGGGATTTTCCATTAAAGGTCACCTTTACTTTATTACAAACTTTTTGGAATTGCTGGCACTTTTCCAAACATCTCTTGCCTCCTTCCATCACAGTTCTTAAAACTGTCCAGAGGTTATTTCTAACAGGGCCATGAAGTCAACCACAATCCTATCTGGCCATTTCCTTCCTAACAGATTTACCAAGTTTAAGTTGATTAGCTATTGGCAAACTGGTCAGTCACCTTACAGTCATTGCTTCCCTAAAGCCTAAACAGACCTGAAAGGTCTCCACCCCATTCTGATCATGGGTGGAGAGGAAGACACCAGGTTGTATTTTAGTTCCTCTACAGTCATTCTGTGTTTAAGTAATTCAGTTATTCTACCTTCATGTATTTTCTTATTTCCATGTATTTTGCTCTTGCTGCTGTGCAGTGAGTCAGCCTGCTGTTATTTGTATTCTTTACAGCTTGCCAGACACGACTGCAATATTAAACTCAGTGAGACAAGATTGCAAAAATTATAGTCGTATGTTGGAATTCTTCAAGAGGCTTGAACCAAGACTGTTAAACCCAGTCGACGTAGTTATTCCACAATAGTGCTCTCCTAAGAAGTGTCCGCTGCCAGAACACCATTTGTTAATGAGCTGCTCCCTCTCACCTGTAGCTCATCCCTTTACTCTCTGTCTCCATTTCCTTCTTAATGTTGTTCCTCCCGTCACTGCCGGGGGTGGGGAAGAGGAGATGGGGAGTTAAGCATTTGTGTGTGTTCTCAGTAAGTGGGAGTGGGGAGTGTCGGGCGCGGTAGCTTAACATTCCAGGAATCCGTCCACGGTCGAGCCTCATGGTTGTGTGATTCTGTCCGTTGTGCAGAGGAGGGCAATGAATGGCTAACCCACTGCATAACTCTGGAGACATTCCCCAAAACACTGCCCACACTCGCACATACTCGTATACGCACACACACTAACGAAAATAACCTGCACATTATACTTTGATTCATATCACTGTAAGAAAAAGAGATGCACTCTCAGCACCAGCTAATGGCGATATTAATGTAGCAGAAAAAAAGCTTCTGTGTGAATAGTTATGGAGAGTGAAATGCTCTGTAGGAAATTTTTAATTTTAATTAATTATCCGACGTGCCTTAACTTGTTGCTGGTAAACATCTTACATGGTCGATGTAGTCGTCCTTTACCCTGCGTATACAAAAAGTCTTCACTTGAGCTGCAAGATGGCTCCTCTCCAAAACAATCTCCCTCCACGCTACAGAGGATCCTCAAGCCCTCTCCTTATATGCATTTTACTCGCTCACACAGCACATGCACACTCTCTCACAAAACACACACACACTGCCATCCTCTGCGCACGCATGTGGGTGGAAGGAGAAGGAGAGCAGAGGAGCGAAAGAAAAAGAGAGAGAAAGAGAGAAGAGAAGCCCTAACCCTTTCCCCTCGGCTGGTGGAAAGTGAAACTTCAGAGTTTTTCTTCCTCCCCCTCTCCATAGTGTTTGATAGTGTAGCACTGGCAGCCTCTGTGTGCCCCCCTGCCCACTCTCTCCCGTTGTGTTCTGGTGGCCAGCTGCTAGCAGAGTTGCAGTTGTACGTGAGTGGGTGGGTGAGACTCGTTTCCTGTGCTCCTCAGGGCTCCGCTCCAACAACTACTGCAGCACGCTCCGGCCAGGGGCCACAGGGGCCACTATTCATAACAAACAGGGGGCTGGCTCCTCTCCTCCTCCTCCTCCTCTTCCTCTTCTTCCTCCTCATCTTCCACCATCACCACTACCGCCATCATCAACATCAGTATACTGCCCACCCACTCCACCCACGCCACTGCACCCCTCTGAGCCTCGGCCCCTGGAGGCCCCCGGTCTGCGGGCTGGGGCACCCCCGCTGCGCTCAGAAGGGTTGGACATGGAAGTGGAAGAGGCCCCTCAGGGCCCGGAGCCCTCCACCCTGGCTGAGGTAAGCACACAGAGCCTGGCTCATCTCCAGGGCGGAGGCTGTTCTCTGGGTACTGCTCCTCCAGTCAGATAAAAGTTTGTGAGAGTGAGTGGAGAGAAGCATCCAGGGGGCAGCTTCACCCTGTTTCTGCAAATGCACTGAGGGGGGTTGAGGTGATGGAAAATATGGTGGGAGGGTGGGGCTATGGGTTTTTATGAGGAGAAGTGGAGGTTAATGGGGTTATTTTTCATCATTGAAAAGTCTTTTTTTACACACGAGTACATCATCTCTCAACCCCTCTGCCTGTATCTCATTCTCCATGTGGAATCTGGTATATTTCCTTTCTACACTCTGAGAAGAAACGCTGTTTTCTTTTGTTTGTCTTTATTTTCTGTATGCTTTGTTTACTTTCTCTTCCTTTCAGATTTTTAATATAGCTAGACCCAAATTCAGCGTCAAGCCAAGAGTCTTTGCTCAGCATTAGCAGTAATGTAGTTTATAGTGGTTACATTAGAGATGACACATCTAGTCACAATGGCAGCGCATGCTTAGAGATGGGAGATAACGGGCAAGGTAGTGAGATGAGACTGAGTAGAATCAATACAAGTAGACAATGAGAGGTTTGCTCTCGCAGCCCAGGAAATTGTTTGTTCTGTGCTGTGTGTGTATGTGTGTGTGAGTGTGGGCGTGTGTGTGAGCATGGCAGTATGAGCATGTGTGGATGTGAGTTTTGTGCCAGTCCGTGTGTGTATGCTGGTGAGCATTTAGGAGCAGCATTTGATTTCAGTGGACCTGCCTCCCAACAAGCCTCCCTATCTCTACGGACAAGCCATCTGTTTGCCCAGTGCATGGTGTTCTGTTCTTAGAGAGGAGGAGGAGGAGGAAGGAGGAGGAGGAGGAGGAGGAGTGTAAGGGCCGAGGAAATGGGTGGGGGTGAAGGAATGGCAGAAGTATGCAGTAGATGGAGAAAATGTAGAGTTTAGATGGGATGTAGATGAGAGAGGGGACAGGTGTTTGGTGCACCTTGCTAACACCCAAAGGGGGTGTTGAGTGTATGAGGCAGATGATATTATGAGTACTGTAGATCAGCGTAACTGCTTATTCTGTCTCATAGAACAGCTCTAGCATCCAGGAACTGTCAGCTATTTACAAAATGTTTTCTGTGTTTGCTTGCTAATCTTTAACAATTTATCTGTGTCTGTCGTTTTTCTTCTTTTTTTAAAAAACTTTTCTGTTTTCATGTCTTTATTCCTCTGTTTCTCACGTGTGAAAAAAGGTTGACTTCACAGCTTGTCTCACCTGCCTGCCTGCCTCCTGCATGCCCAGACAACATTCCATACAGACTGTATAAATGTGTGTGTATGTGACATAACGGGATGTTTTGTGCTTACAGGAGGGTGTAAAAGACAAAGAAGACATGAAGGAATACAACACAGGTATGGTTAGGGCTTTCAAGGTTGTCAGATGTAGATAACTTAAGAGAAAGCATCTTTTGTACCTTATCTATTTCTCTCACTTTCACTCTCTTCTTGCTATCTCAGCCTTGGAAGGTGACCAGTCTCCTGTCGAGAGGGATCAGATGGGCGAAGAGAGCTGTGCTGGTGGCTTGACTGTGCCTGCGTCAGTGTCTGTGGCTGGCAGAGGGACTAAAGGGCTGAGGGTACTAGGCGAAGAGGTTGGGTCAGGGAAAATATTTCTGCCAGAGCCCGGTGCCTGGCCCTCACAGGGGTTCCCCTGCTCCCTGTGCAAACGGCTGTTCAGCAACCTGGAGCATCTCAGGGAACACGAGTACCACCACACCCTGTCTTTGATGGCCTTGTCCCTGGACTGGCCGAGCATGCAGGGTCCGCATCGCCAACCTACCCAGCCCCATCACCAGCCACAATCCCAGCCTCTCCACTTCCACCAGTCTCTCTACCACCCTGCAGTGGCCGAGCCAACGCCGGCACGTTACCTCTGCTCCCATTGCCCCGCCAGCTTCACCCTCAAATCCAATGCAGACCGACACGAGAAGACCATCCACTTCAAGAAGAAGTTAATGCAGTGTGTTTACTGTCTGAAACACTTCAGAGACCGCACAGACCTGCACAGGCACCTGTCTTCTGTTCACTCCAAAGAGAGAGGGCACACCTGTCCTGCCTGTGCCAAGGCTTTTAGCACCCAGAAAAACCTGGCGACACATGTTAAAGTGTGCTGCCAGGTGGGGTCAGTGCCAGGAGCGATACTGGGAGGCAGCACTGGGATGGAAATGTCTCAGACTGGGGTTATAGATTCACTGTGGCGGCTTTCTCAAGAGATGAAAGTTGACAATCATAATATCAGTATTAATGTGGAAAACTGAGACTGGAGGATCTAGAGGCTGCAGGCTTATGTACACACATTCATACCCATCAATTAGCAGCGTATCTTCACATTTGCTGTACGTTCATGCCAAAAATGCTCTGGGGTGTCATTGCACTTAGAAGGAAGAGTTCCTGGTTCCTAAAATCAAACGTCTGTCGACATGATTATAAATACCTAGGGATACTTTATTCCTTTTTTTTTTTTAACAACTTGTTCAATTTTATGTGATTAAATATTTTTTTAAAAGGCGATTTAACTTGAATTGACAGCTTACATGTCAACAATGCACAATTGCTATGCAAAGCTGATCTGCTTAAACAACTGACTGACACTATATCTAGAACAAATGATCTATTAATTATCTTTAGGTTGTAAATAGTTTGAGTGTGTACTTATTGGACCCATGAACAGGTGAATTGCTTTCCGTTGCGGTGCCGGGTGGAGAGACAAGGGGGGCGTCTTTCCGCCTCTCAGACCTCAACTACTTGTCTGGCTTTCTGTCGCCAGTCACCAGTCTGACTAAACTCTTCTCTCCTTTTTAGGCAGAGAGATCTTTATCTTTGTGTCCACCCCTGCATTACGGGCACAAAGACACTCAGACACAGTTCATATCTGCCAGGCTTCCGTGTGGCTCACAGCACACGCAACCACACCACCTGCAGGAACTTTGTAAAATTGCAGCATGAGAGCAGAATTAAGACCCAAATCAGATTATTTCTGTTGCCAGTGGTAGTGCACTTCACCAAATATTAAAAAGTTCCAGACAACTTTATATACAAAAAACATTGTGATTGCTTTTCTTTACACTCTAACTCAAAGAAAAACAAAGTAATTCTATAACAGGTCAACCTCCACTGGACACGTGAAAGCTTGTCCTCAGTCATACATGATTACATTCAGTCATTGCTGTCAGATCAATGCAGTTGGAGGGGATGTGCCGAACGAGACAAAGCCAGCTAAAACAATAGGCCAGTCGCAGCCCAGGTGGGGGTTGGGTGGTGTCATTTTCTCTCTATGTGTCCATCTCCTCTGTCCCAGATCTGTAAGTCTTCTAGTGGCTGAGTGTGGCTGGAGCTGGACAGTAATTGCTCCTTCACGGCACCGGCCCTTCTTAACCCTTGACCCTTCATCTGAAGAGGAAGTTGGGACCGAGGGGCAGATGCCCTTTTTAGTTTAGTGATGTCAGTGCTACAGACAGATAATGGTGTGGTTGTGCATACAAGCTGTAAAATGGGGGATCAAGGGAGACAAGTGGGAAAAATGCAGGGGAGGAATAAGGGAGATGGTGACAGAGTTAGGTGGAGGGTGCTGTAGAGCCGGAGCGGAGCCGCAGTATATTGGAATCAGCATGAACACTGGCTACAAAATTATTGCTGATTTAAATTCACACCAATTTCTGCCAAACCCTGCAACTATAAACCAAGATATTTTCTTGATGCAGGCCCAGTTGATGATTATTGTGTGCATCCAAACTGTGAATTCCATACCCAAAGGGAAGACATCCACCTGTGTTTCCCTCTAATGTCCCAACACATAGAACAGTCATTTCTATGTGCTAAGCAAAAGCAGAACTTGTGTCTATTGGGAATATATCCCCTTGCTGTTGTATATACACACAGGGTATTCCCGAATGCCAAATCCTTTCTAATACAAAATCCCATTTCTCAGGTAGCACACTCTGTCCTAGCCAGCAGCTGAAACCGACTGGCAGGCTCAGAGAAGTCAGGAACTAATCAGGAACTCTGCAGAGCCAACCACTGAGGAATAATGGCAAATGCTGTACGGCTGTTGTGTGGCGTTTTTTTGAGTTTGAATATATGTTGCTGTAAATATTGAAATAATTCTAGATTATGAATTTTTTCTCACTAAACAAAAACCTATGTACTGTACACATATGTACTTTTCTAAACAGAATAACATTCTGCTTGTAGTTTTTATGCTGCAATTAAACTGTGATGGAAAATGTGAAAACTTCTTTGTAGTTTTTAATCTTTTATCTATGTGTCATGCGCATATTCACACAATCACAATATTCCTTTCTTTGTCTTTTTTGCATTTTAACTTGCCACTCTTAACAAATGTAAATAAGATGCTTTTATGCAGTTGATGTGTACTTGCATGTTTTTGTGCTGTGGAGTGTTAAATCAGAGCCGAAGTCGCTTTGCAGATGGAGGTAATTATATTATATCACTTAAAGCTTATAACCCTCAATGTGTGTTTGACCCCCCACCCTTTATGAACAGTAGAGGTGTACAGTAGTAGTGTGTATTGTGCTTGTCATAAATCCAGTCCTGATTTCTCATGGTCATACACCCTATGCCTTGACTGTAAAGTTTCTTATATACACACACACACACAATCTGTTTACTTGGATGCCCTTCACCTGGCTTAACTACCATTTAAGTCTAGACCTTGAGATAATTGACCTACCAGACGTACAGGATACACAAGATTGGGACATGGTATTAACATTCGTTTCTGTTTTTATTTTTATTTTTTTTGCTGAAGCCTCCCTTTGTGTGTGTGATTTCATTCCCCAGCCTTCTTGTCATTGTCTGTGTTTGTCTTTCTGTCTGTGTTTTTGCTGTCCATAGTGGAGACCTTCTAGAGCAACTAAGGCAGACTGACTGTTGTGTCGTGTTTATAGTATCTCTTTGCCTTTATTGCTTTAGTATGGAGGAAGAGCTGTTGCCAGGGCAACAGTAGCTTTGACTGGGATTGGGGTGGCCATGGGAATTGATGGTACATTTCTAGACCATGCCACTAATTAAATGTAATAACTGAAAAGTGACGTCTCGGTTTATTTAAACGAGCTTCATTCAACTCTAATCATTTTTTTCCTTTTTTTTTTCTCTCCACCACCCCTCCCTCCTTATGTCTCTACAGTGAATGACTTCACGGTGATCCGTAAAAAGTTCAAGTGCCCCTACTGCAGTTTCTCTGCTATGCACCAGTGCATCCTAAAGAGGCACATGCGCTCCCACACTGGTGAGAGGCCCTACCCCTGTGAAATCTGTGGCAAGAAGTTCACCAGAAGAGAGCACATGAAGAGGCACACACTGGTAAGTGCAGCTATACGAAAACCAGTAGGGGGCAGTAAATTGCACCCTAAACCAAAGTCTAAACTAAAATTTTGAAATTGTGTTTCCATCCTTCAGGTCCACAGCAAAGACAAGAAGTATGTGTGTAAAGTGTGCAGCCGAGTCTTCATGTCAGCAGCCAGCGTTGGAATCAAACACGGCTCACGTCGTCACGGCGTCTGCGCTGACTGCTCTGGGCGGGGCATGGCCGCACTGCTGGACCACAACGGGGAGGTGGGAGGAGACATCTCACCGGAGGAGGAGCTGTATCCCGGTGATCGTTTCCACGACGACCAGGCGGAGTGCGACGGTGATGGAGAGGGGGAGGAGGAGATGATGGTCGAAGGGGACGGGGAGATGATGGGAGAAGGGGAGGAGGAAGGAGGGAAGTGGAAAGACTCAGGGATGACCGCTGAGGCACACGGAGCACTGGACAATGAGAAGGAGGAGAGCGACTCCTCTGCACAGGAGGGGGAGCAACAGAACGGGAGTGAGAGGGACTTCGCCTGGATCTCCTAGAATCTGTCAGGCTCCTGTCAGTGGTTCGTCGACCAATCTCTGAAGATCTCTGAAGATCTCTCCGGGCAGAATCCTCTGCTCTCTTTACCCATTCGTCCCACTGTGGGCAGGCCTTCCTTTGAATGGAAATGCTGTAGGGTGACGCGCGACAATGATCTAACACCATTACGAGTAAACACACTCAAGTGCACACACATACACACAGAGACTTACACACACACACTTAGGCTATTCTCAACCTTGACTGCCATAGTAGAAGAAGAGTGGTCAAGAGATGGCTCAAGTGCAAGGCTTTTTCTGCTTACCTCCTTTACTTCTGATGCAGTGTTTTTGTGTTTCTTTTTCTTGAGGGTTCAGGCCAGAGTCCAGTAGTTTTCTACTCTGTCACAACAGGAATCAATGAGGACGCTGCCAAGGACATGGCCAATGCCAGACTGCAACTTTGTATGTTTGCCATCACAATCACCATGGAAACCAAGAATCACTGACAGTGTAGGGAAAGCCACCTCGGCTGTAATGTTTCTGTGGGAAAGTGTCTCTCTACGAGTGAAGGGAGAGTCTAAATCTATTGCAAAGCTATGTGTTTCAGAGGACCGGGCAGCCCGATGGCACATTGTTGATGCAGAATCCTACTGCCACAGACTTGCACTTTAATGACAACTGACTCCTATCAAAGCCCTGAACCCGTGGTTTACATTTTTGATCTGATCTTTACTTACCTAAACAACTCGGTGACCGCACCTACCTTTAAGGATATACTTTATGTCCTCTTGACTGTTAACACGATATAGAAATCACTGAATCTTTGTGCAGATTGCTGTTTATATAGCCTTTGCCTTTCAGTGGGGTCCTTAATCTTTTCTTCACTTAAGTTTACCACACGGTTTCTATCAATCCATTCCAACAAATACTGGAGATGTGACTAATGTATATACGATTTTTGGAATTTAAAACAGGAGTGCAGTGTGTGTGAGACAGAGAGAGACGGAGAGAGATTGAAAGAGACTTTTACAGTGTATGTAAGAGTTTTAACCCTCTTTATACACAAAGTGGACATCAGTTTCTGTTTCCTTGTTTGGAAAATCAACACAAGCACACAAGGGATCCACATGACCTACACTATTAACTCTTTCTGTCTCTCTCGCTGTCTCTTGTGTTGATAGGACCTGAGAGCCATGTCTCTCACACCTAAGGAGGAGCTGCCTTTTTTCAAAAACAGTTGGGTTTTTTTTTTTTTTTTCCTGTTTCTGTCCTGGTCAGTCATGTAATGCCAGTTTCTCAATACAGAATATGCAGACTCTTTCCATGGTTTAACTTTCTTTTGGTGATATATTTTCTCCGGCTTTGTAAGGTTAAAAGAAGAGGATCAAAATTGTGCTTGAAATTCCGAGTTTGATATTCGTAGAGAGTGTATTATTAATTTGTTTTGTTTAACAGCTATTTATTGAAAACTGTTGTGGATTCCTAATTTTTGAGAAGTCATTCCCTCCTCTCTCTCTCTCTGTGTGTTGGGTAGAACAGGATGGGTGTTTGTATGCAAGAATGTTTGAGTGTCCAGTGTCCAAAAAAAAGTCTATATTGATTTCTTAAGATTATTTCCATGTTATTGACAATTCAAGTGAGGCAGATGACATGTCTTATTATTATGATTATCAGAACTATGATTACTGTTGTTGATGTTACTATTATTAATTATTATTAAGTGCTGGATGCTAAGCTTTATTGTGTGTTCTTTTTTTGATATTTTATATCTTGTATAAGAAAAAAAGCTTTTATACTTTGCCTTGTTGTGGACAGCAAGCCATGGGGCTTTTATCAACCTTTTATTGTGCCAGTTTACGCTTTTTCTGTCGTATTTGCTTTTTTTACCAAGGGGAAAAACAACTTCACTGTCAAACTTCTCTGTTAGATATTGATTGAAACATATATTCAGCACACGCTTTTGCATCACTAATGTACACTAATTGATTAATATCGAACCAAAAACAATCTAGTACCTTGTATACATGAAGTGCTTTTGTTTCACAGTCTGTGTGTGCAGGTGCTTTTGGATTTATTGTTGTGATTAACAGTTTTGTTGTTGGGTTGTTTTTATTTTTGAACCTGTCACTATTTGTCACAGTTGAAAAAAGTGCAAATGTTAAGGTATTATTGTGAATATGAAGGGCTGTGTGAAAGGACAGGCTAGATTTAGAAGACGGCATCCTTAAACCAAGCTGAATTTTTTTTTCTTTTTTCTAATTTCTAGTGTCTCCGCCTCGCATGACACACAATCAAGAAGAAATGCAGCATGCAGACAAAATGCTCGTCTCAGACAGCAGAGTGTAGAGTCTACATGCTGTATTCCTATCTGCCAGTATTTTACTGGCTTGACTCAAGCTAATTTACCTAAAGGGAAAGTGAGCACTGCAGCAGTAACTCTGGGAAACATTTTGTTGCCAGTGCAGGTTGCACACATCAGGCCTCTCTGCTACAGGTGCCATGGACTGGACTTCCCATTAACCCCCACTGAGAAAGTCTCATTACAATGCGATTTGCGATGCTTTCTTCATGTCTGGCAACTGTCTTTATCTTATTTGTATTATTTATTGTGTTTTTGTTTGACCCATTAATCAAATAGTTGTAATTTTTGGGGTGAAAAAAAAAGACAAAAGACAATGGGGTTAAGATTTTTATGAATGTCAAAGGTGGGTGTGGAAGGAGCCCATGATCGGTGACAAATCTCTGTCCTGTGGTGCTGTTGTGGCCACTGAGAGACATCTGGATGTATGTGTGAATCCCCGGCCCTGCGCTCTTCTCACGACCTGTACTGTATGTCTTCTTCCTCATACTGGGTTGTACTTCAGGAAAACGTCTGCCATCAACCCCTCAATATGTGCCTCAATGACATTTCACCTGTGTGCTTGTGAGAGTGTTTGTTTCCGAAAGATGAATATGTGTTGTATGTCGATGGATAGAGATTAATAAAAATGCGACTGATCAGATTAGAGGTGCAAAATGTTTTTGAGGATAAAACTTCAAACGAGACAAATCATGATGGGCGACTAGATTCTCCTTCCCACCGTGTGTTGATGACCTTTTGTGCCCTGATTCTGTGGTCTTAACTGCATGCCTGTGCTCATTTTGTCATACCAAAGCGACGTCTTCGGCATCTGCACACAACTGTCTCATTCCACACGATGCAAAACTGGAACTGTTTGCTCTATTGCAGATGAATATGGGTATTCTTAGACGTGTACAAATTGCAATCCTCATTTAGCCTGTATAGCTTGATTCACACGTGCAAATCATGAAGCCATAGATATGGGTATATCTATATTATACTATATTTCAAAATTGGCGCTTTTTACTTTAGATTTTGTTCTTCTACTAAGAGTGATGTGTGTATACCTTCATATATATGAATTTATATTACTATTATATATTATTTATTTTCTCTCTCAAGTTTCAGAGGGTCTTTAATTTGTAAAAGGTCGCACTTGAAGCTTGAGGTTTGTTTATTTTCATTGGGGATATTGTTCAATATGATACTGACTTTATATTGATGATTATCATAAACCTGTGTTTGTAACAAAATGTGTTAAATAATCAAAAAAACCTGTCCTGTTTTTACACCTGTTTTGTTTTGGGCAGATTTAAGTGCTCTTGTGCAGATATTTTTCGGTTGATAGTACTGATCACAAAACATTTTTACAGCCAACCATGAGCCTCCTGTTTTGATGTTGGGGCTGGCCCACCGGCCATCCAAGCCTCTTTCTAACTTCATGTTTAGTGGAAGAATTAGCTTGACTATTATTTGCAAAAACCAATCAGTCTCAATAAATTTTGAAATTGCTGCTGTAAAGAAGTGACCAATGTGTGCTGTGCATTTTGTATTCTTGTGCCTATTGGTGGGTTGGATTGGACTAGTGTTGTCATAACTGCCTGCTGTCCACAAGGGGGCAGAAAAGACAAGTCAAAGAATGTAGACAGGAAGGAATCTAGATCTAGTCTATAAATCTTATATTACCAAATTTCCTTCCTTGGAAGATTTGTCATTATAAACATCTACAGACAGTTATCCACAGACTCTTATTCACTCACATAAAAAACGATGATGATCTGACAGCATACTTCTTCCATTCAGGTTTATTTTCTTTCCATGACATTACATCACATACATCACATTATCAGCATCATACATGGTCATCCATCTTTTCAAGCACTAGTCATAGGCTTGACATTCACACAAATACTCCTTGAGTGCACACACTCCTCAGAAAGTGCTTCCTCCATGTGCGTGGGACTGCTGATGAAGACCGAAGGTCGAGCCCACGCACAGAAGAAATCTTGCCCTCCAGTGAAGACCCAAGGCTGACGTCACGTTTTTCTTCAAAATTCTTTTAGCTGTGTGTGTGTGTGTGTGTGTGTGTGTGTGTGTGTGCGTGTGTGTCAGGCTGCAATGAGCATGTATTACATTTAGAGGAAAACAAACTACATCAGCCTTGGGTTATCAGTTACTGAAAGGGGAAATCTAACACATAAAACCCTTCAGTGTTGTATCTCCTAACAAAAAAATAGGGGGGAAAAATGAGCGATACTAGACATGCAAAACAACCTCAAACTCAACCAGACAATCAATCAATCAATCAATCAATGAGAAAAAAAAGCAAAAGTCAGTTTTCACACCAGCCAGTGTAAGGCTCAGTAAAAACAAAACAGGAGAAAAAAGGGTCAAATCTAACAGACAGAGGGTAAAAGCCTGGACAAACAATAAGAGCACAGTAGAAGAAGCAGAGAATTGAGTGGAGCTGCCATTGCAATGCATTACATTACACTTGATTTGGAAGGAGATCTATTGGCTTTGCTGCTGCTGGTTTAAACACATATGAAAACTGACATTCAAGAAAGCAGCACAAATTTCTTTTTCAAATGTGGAAAAAATGAAGGCTTTTTCAATGCACATTTCAAGGGTTTAGTTTAGCTTAATATACTGGGTAAAGGCTTGGGTGGGACCACAGTAAAGCTGGATAGCACAAGAACAGGAAATGGAAAAGGACAAGGTGATCAGGGAAGAATCACTGTAGTGAAAAGGAAATGGGAAGGATATGTCTATTAGGGAACAAGTGGAAGACACTAAAAGCATTGGAATGTGCAGGTCAGGATAAAGATTCCCACAAGGTTAAAATTTTCATTGTGACCAAAGGTCGAAGGTTATCCTGCCTTACAACAACTTAACATCACAACCACAAACAACATCCACGACAACAATATCCACAAATATTCAGAAAATTGACTATTTGGCAGGGAGAAAGACAAAAGACGAACAGCAACAGTGTGAGCGAGTAGCCCAGATGTCACCAAGAGCTCAAGTTAGTTCTTGTTCCATTATAAAGCGTCTCATTGCACAAAGTAAGATAGTAAAGCAATACTGCATGGTTGTGTTATTTGATATGACTTAGCAGTGTGGCGACAGCTGTATGTGGGTGTTAAAAGGTTTGAATACCAAAATCAGGACGCTCTAAAGGTTCACTACAGGCAGTACAAACTAGCCAGCAAATATCACACACATTGAAAAAAAAGAAAAACATATTTTTGTAGGTTTTACATTCATTTGTTTTTCTCCCATTTGCCTCTAAGCTACAATATACATTGAATCTTTACGTGTTATGTTCACTATAGCTTCTCAATTGACTTTTTTTTTTTTTTTAAAGAAAGAAAATATTCTTAGCAACTATACTGTAAAAAAAAGTTTGCTTTTCATATAACAAGATACAATAAACAAAGAAAACAACAACAACAATATATGAAAAAAGCCTCACGGTTCTCTTTATGTTGCATATGTACAAGAAAGCCCTGAAAATGCAAATCCATCTATATCGTCACTGCGTGTCTTGTATCTGTTTTCCATCAACTGTAAATCTCCCAAAAAAAAATTCCCTGCACGCCCATTAACGGTCAACTTCAATCTCCATCTGTCATTGTCTAAGTGACAGTTGTAATTATTAATCTACTTTCGCAAACATTTACCAATAAAGTCCTCTTGTCCAAGATCTGTGCACAAGAGCAACTTTGTACCCACAGTTCTGTCTGGCCATAATGACCCGAATAATGGCCGCGCTCACACTTTAATGATACGACTTGGGCCTCGATCATCACAGGGCCAGTATAGTGCAACTCAAGAAAAAAAAAAGATGGAATAGTGGCCAGCAATCGCAGTTAACCTGTTAGCTTAACACGTGCTAACAGTCCCATTCGCTACCAGCAAAAGCATCAGCCTCTAACCCTGCTGGTGGAACCTAAAAGTGCTTACACTGAGGATGGAGAGAGACCTGATGGGTTGCATTTGACACTCCATCAAACGACCGAACCAGAGATTACAGGATTAAAAGTGGTATCCAGCACTAATAACAGTATCTACACAGTTACTACCATAGCTCAGTAAAATGTATATAAGCAGGAACCAGTTTTTATTTGAGTAAAGGAAGCACAAAGATGAGCTTTACGGATAAAAAGTCTGGGTATTATGAAGAAAAAAACTCCAGGGAATAAAACACTGTAAAAGCATCTGTTATCAAGACGATAATGTGTAGCCACTGACTGAGACCGATGTTTTCCCATCACTGAGACAAGGTAGGTGCTGCTTTCGGCCCTTGGCACTCCTCCAAGGAAAGGCAAAGTGACTACCTAAGTACCACACTGTACTTCCCAGTACCACACTTCTAAAACGGCCAGCACCACTATGTTTAGTACAATAAATCTGACACAAAGAGCAAGACATGAACTGTCAAGATTACTTGCTAAGAATGGGGAACCCAGAGGTACAGAACCCCTATCCCTGACACCCCATTAATTCCATCGGGCAGTGACGACAACCCTCCCACGCCCTCGAAAAAAAGAAAATCCTTTCACTTCAAAATTTGTGTATATAAAATGTCCATGTATAAAAACATGTCTTTGCGCAGTGCAGCGTAGTGCAATTTAATTAGGTCAGTATACCTTTTCCTTTTTTATGTTCTTTTAATTGGCACTTTGTGAAGTTTCTGACCGGAAGAGGCCTTGCAAACCTCTCTCACAAGCTGAGAGGGAGGGAGACCTAGCTTATCTGGGATGCCACTGGAATATATACGATTTACAGGCAGGATCACTCATTTTCAAAAGAAAACGGTGTTTTTTAACATGAACTGAATGAGATATTATTAACTACTATTACAGCTAAAATGTGTGCTTAATGTATTTTTACTTCAAGCCACCAATTAACAGTCAATGATCTGCTTGAAGCCATAACTGGTCGTCCTTAACGTGGTATATTAGGCAACAGCAGACAGAAGGAGTGACCCTGTGGCGACGGGGGGACTGCACAGGTGTTTCTATGGAGACAGAGGTCTGAAGTCGTACTGTACCTCAGTCAAGGAGTCTGCTCGACAGCCTGGTCATACAGGAGAGGAAAGGCACTGTGTGTGTGTGTTTGTCATACGTTGCTATGGTGATCAGGTCAAGTCAGTGTCAGAAGCGCTTAGAAAGCAGAGGACACACAGCAGAATCTACATTCAAAAAGCTGCTAACAAACAGCACAAGAGTGAATCTCTTAAAAAATATACATCTACTGTCATGACTCGGCCTCTGAGAGCAGATTAGAAAAATACCTGTTCAAGGGTTTTTTATTGTGTGTGGAGTTTTACATTATCTGAATCGAGGGTCTAAGGGTAGATGGTGTCACATGTACAGATTGTGAAGCCCCTTGAGGGAAATTTATGAAGTTGTGCTGTATAAATAAATAAATGAACTCCACTATGGTTTATGGGAAACAAGTTATCAGCGAATCAGGGATCTCTTCAAGCAGGAATTACTATAAGTATTTGACTATATTTGTCTGTATCTTTTCAAAACACTTTAAAAAGAAAAACAATAAAAGTTAATTAATAGAAATACAAACCAAAATGGGCTTTAAAATTATTAGCTATTATTATTATTCTTAGTCTGCCCAATATTGCTAAATTATTATTATTTTTTAAATATAGATGAAAGGGATATATCAAACATCACAATTTCTACCACCTATCTAAAGCTTGGAAAAGTAGGCCTTCATCAACAGACCTATTCTAAAAAGTAAAACTCTACTTTGGTGAAGCATTTTGCTCACACAGCCGGCTGCCGCTCTGCACTGACTTGATTTGATTCACACTTTTCATTGTCAAATGTTAGACCAGAGAGAAAGATCATTCCAAAGGATTAAACACAACACCTACCAAAAACGTAGAAAAAAGTACTTGGTTCCTGGTATCTACAAATGTCACAATGCTGGTTAATAATAGTTATTCCAAAGACTAAATTGGGTAACCTCTGTAAGAAATGGATAAAATGCCTGACTTGTTATCAGGTAGTGATTGTTATTCTCCTACATATACAAATTACATCAGACTGTAAGTTAAAGTTTCAAAGGGCAGTTTTCATTCATGTATAATTCATTGTGGATAACAAAATCTTTAAGAAAATCAGCTGTCAAAGGAAGAACAGAGGCTTTTTTTCCTCAACTCACCTTAATAACAATTACGACCACAAAGCAAAAGATTCCGCTGATTGCACAGTGCAACTGCTAGTTGCTTCAGCAAATCATTGCTGAAAATAAACTCTAGATAAGAAATAGATATCCACTCTCTCAGACACGCTGTGGTTACAGTGATACTTTAAAAGATGACTTATTTCTTCAAGGTGCATATCGCTAGGGTACAAATATAGAGAAGGGCAAGATATTTTATATATTGTGTATGTCTGTAGGATGTCAGTAGGTAAGTCTGTAGGGACTTTGTTTGGGAACCGGAGGGTGGCCATAGTTCAAATCCAGCACCCAGTCAATATGGAG